AAAAAAAAAAAAGTTAACCTAGAGTGAGATGAGCCGCCTGCCCACTCACACAGCCTGTGGCAGCACCCCAAGGCCCCGTGAACCACCTCAACTCATCAGCGACCTTCAGTGCCGGCACAGGCACCGCGGAGCCTGTGAAAGGTGGGCAGCAGGGAGCACGGAGGCTGCTGCAGCCAGCAGAGCTGGGCCGGCAGAACCAGGGTGAAGGTTTGGGGCGCACCTCTTACTCCAGGGCCAGCTCTCCCAGGGGCCTGAGACTGGCTACTGGCCCTGCCCCTACCCTAGACTTTCCTCCCCACCCATGGGGCAGAGGCAGCACAGGGGCAGGATGCGTAGTCTCCCTCCCTCAGGGAGCTCAGAGCCAGAGAAGGGATCCTGGGGGAAATGACTTTCTTGCGGCCTCGGGGTGTAGGCACCACACCCACATGCTACACAATGTAGGCCATGGCCTCCCACCTCCCTGAGGAGGCAGGTACCAGCCACAGGGCTTGCAGGGCCAAGCCCGGCTCTTAGTCACAGGCGGGCTGCAGGGCTGACTTAACTGCCTGAGTCTGCGATCTAATCTTCACAGGCACCCTGCAGGGCGAAGCTTGCATGGAGCCCATCTCTCAGATGGGAGCCGAGGCATGGAGGTTGTCAGGCTTCTCTAACCCACAGCTGGATCGTCCCAGGCAGGGCAGGCCCCGCATCTCACCTCCGCTTACACTCAGGAGGTGAGGCAAAGACCCTCGAAAGCATTTTGACTCTTGTGCTTAAAAGGTTTTGAAAGTAGTTGCAGGGTTAGCAACTGTGACATTTCACCTCCAAGTGAGGAGCGGGGGAATCAGGGGAGGCCACAGGGGCTGGGCTGAGCACAAAGAGCTCTCAGGCCGTCTTGGGCCCCACTGGGTGCTGGCATTTGACATTCCAGCTGGAGCAGGGGACCGCCACCCCAAATGTGCCTCCACAGGGACTCACATCTACATGGACACATGCCACGAGCCGCGCTCCCCACGCCTCCTTGCCCTTCTCTGGGCACACGTGTCACTGCTCGCCCAGTGCGTCCTCCCACTTCCCCTCACTGCCCTGGAGGTCCCTGGCCCTCAACTCACCCCCAGGGTTAGCTTCTGTGAGAAGCCTGGGGGTCCTCACCCCCTCGGCTGTTGCCACTCAGGGGGAAATCAGGGCCAAGGAGACAGACAACCCTTCCCTGCTGTCCTCTCCCCCCTCGGACCCTGGGGACTCTCAGCCTTCACTGCCAGGTCTGCTGGTGACAGCCACAACCATGCCCCCAGTACTGCTCCTTGTACTTAGGGAGGGGCCCTGACCTGCCCCTGGGTGCCCCTGAGCCACAGTCAGCCAGAGGGTGACCCAGGAGCCCAGAGGGTGGGAAAATGGACTGCACTGGAGACGGTTAGGGGTGGGCACTGCCCCAGGCTGAGGGTGAGGGTAGGAGGGCTGCCTGGAGGAAGGGCATCTGGAGCTGACTTTAGGAGGAAAGCAGGCGTGTACTTGGTAAAGGGAAGAGGAAAACCAGGGACTCTCCAGGCCTGAGGTGGACTGCAGCACTGCACACAGCAGACCTTGCCCAGCAGAACTGGGAGGACTGACTCCCGGCTCGGCTGGCCCCTGCGAGCCCCAGAGCGCCCAGCCGGGTAGGCCCGCCCGCCCACGGCCTTTGCCCACTTCTTCCGGACATGCACCAGGGCCCTCCTGTACCGGAGGTGTGACAGCCCTGCTCCTCTCCAGCTCCCCCTGCTCCTCTGCTCCCAGCTGCTGCCTGGGTACACTCTGGCAAGTGGGCACCTGCCCCCGGGCACATGGGCACAGGGAACCAGGACCTTCCAGTCTTCAGGAAGGAGAAGGGGAAACAAAAGCACCCTCCCTGTCTGGCTGGCCCCTCTGCGCGGCTGCCCAAGCTGGGCTGGGCACTGCCCCTCTCGTGGGCCCTGGAGGTCCGGAGCACTGGTCGGCTAGCAGGAAGGGGCCCTGGCCTGCCCCCTCTGGCCCTGCTCTGGCTCCCGCGCCTGTCTGCGGTGGGCGGCTGGACCTACCTTGGCGCGAACTCGCGCCCTCCTGCGCCCGGGCTGCCCGCTCGGTGGTCGGACTGCAGGCGCGCGCGTGCGAGCGGAGTCCGTCCGGAGGGCGGGCTGCAGGGA